TATCGGTAACTGGCCAGGTGAAAGCGAAGGCACTTGAAATTAATGTAAGTGATTTGAACTTGGAAGATGGAATGGATGTTTTTATTGAGGCTCTTAATTTGCTGTTTATGAAAGAAGCTGTAGATTTAGCCTATGAGGCATATCCAAAATTTGATTCATACATTAAATCTGAAGACATACTGGTGTCAGAACTTATTGTGGAATAAGGACATTCATACCTGGGGTGCAAAGAATATAAAATTGAACTTCCAGATGTTGTTTTGTCATTCAAACTTTTGGACAGTGCGAATTTGACACACAGAAACAGGAAACTCGTGCTGACAGCAACATCAGACTTAAAATGCGGACTTCATTGAAGAGAATTTTTTCTGATAGTCATGTGACATTGATGACTTAGAATACAAATAGAGGGCTATTATTGTTAACACAGTCAGTAACAAATCTTTCAAGTTTGGAGGTGGTGTGAGAGTAGTATCATATAAAAATGTTATATTACCTGCCAAAATAGGAGTAACAACATGTAATAATGGTTGGAGATGGCTTGAATGGGTAATGAAGAAAAACTTTAATATAAGTTTTTCTTCATCACCCATTCAAGCCATCTCCAACCATTATTAGTCTCAAAGTGGGTTCCTCGTCATTGAATAACAACATTTAAGATCAATACAGAAGTAGTAAATGCAGACTTACCTTTATTACTTAGTAAAACATCTCTTAAGAGAGCACAGGCAAACTAGACATTTGCAGTGATAAGGCTGAAATGTGAAATTGGAATTCATCTCAAGTGGATATCATTGCATAAATATTCGGTCATTTGATACAGAGAATAAATATGAAGATGAAAAGCAACAGGCTGAGATATTGCTAGTGACAACAAGTTTGATAATAATAAAATGGAAGTACCAGAATCAGAAATTTTGGTTATCAATGACAACACAAGCAAAGCCGATAAGAAGAAAATATTGATCAAACTTCATGTCAGTTTGGACATGCATCAGTGGAACATCTAAGAAAACTAATAGAGAATGTTGCCACTAAGAATGTGGAAGTTTTCAAAAACCTGAAATGTTGTAAACGAATGTGAGGTGTGTTACAAATATATGACACAGCCTCCTAAACCAGCAGTAGGGTTTCACTTAGTTAAAAACTTTAATGAAACTGTAGCAGTTGGCTTCCATGTATGGAGCTATTTAATTTTGACTATGTCAGCTTCATCACCTGTTGACTCCTCTTCAGTACTATCTTCAAAAGCACTGGAGTGGGGTTACCTACAATGTAGTAGTGTATACTTCATTAGCATATGTACTGAATACCTAGTGTAAGAGGCATTATCAAACAAGTGTTATGTGACTTGCAGTATATTGCATGCTGTGCAGTAGGAACTTTTTGTTGTAGTTGAAGGTCTGTATTTATTTTCAAATCAAACTGTTGGGTCATGTCGGGTCAATCACCTCAAAACAGAAGTTGCATGGTTTTTGATGATGTTTTGTAGGAATGTTGGTGTTATGAAGATATAATATTTTGCTAAGTTTCACATCCCTAGGTCAAATGATTTTTAAGTGAGAGTTCAACAAGTATTTGACCCAAAATGATTACTAGATGAGACCTTCCTAATCCCATCAAAATCTCAGGCTGATTTTTGGTCAAAACTTAGAGAATGGTGTGAACTTGTATATCCATAAGTATGATATATATATATTTTTTATAAGCTTTCATGAGGTTTATCTTGTATATTGAGGTATTTATTCATATTGGGGCTGAGAATCTTAAGTAAAGGCAAAGGTCATCAATTCAAGGTCAAAAGTCAGAATTATGAATATTAGAAAAAAATGGCATGTTTGGCTAGAACACAAACAAAGCTTTCCAGCAATAGTTTACCTATATTGTAGCATTAAAAATATAAATTTTGCTGGGACTTTTATATCATTGCTCTTATCTAGGAGCCATTTCTAATCAAGTATATGGTGTTCTCTCACATAAAAACATCTAGAGATGTGAAACTTTGCTTAATCTATGGCACCAACATCTCTGCCAACTACCATCACAATTTAAAGAAGTTGGGTCAGAAATCTTTCTGAAGTGATTGATTTTGCATGGACTGACCCTACTACTCTTTTCTGTTTTTTTGTTTATTCATTGTTTTGTTTAATATGTATGTTCAATTAATCAACAATGCTATGTTACAAAAAATGTGACTGTGACTATTAATAAAGTTTTATTTTACTTAAGTTCGGTGCAGCTCTTTTAATAGGCCACAATAAGGTGCTCTTGCAGTGCAAACTTACTCTGTATGTATGAGTATTGCCAGCAGCATCAGTTATGTGTACATAAACAAGTACTTTTATTTGAATTATGAAAACAATGATTAATGTTCTGTATAACATATTTTTAAACTACATGGAATGTTTTGTTCCATTTATATGGAGTACCTTAAGATAATAGAAATATTAATAAAATATAAACTAGTAGCCAATTCAAGAAACTAGCTATGGTGACAGTAGCCAGCTGTAGTTATTTTGTGTACTTTCTATCTCTTACGTTACTTCAGTTTTTTGTGTTAACTTCTTGAAATTTTGCCTTGATGATAACCACTTTTTCCAGCACTGATACATATTTATCACTTTTTTACAGTCAGTAGTAATAAGACATTTCATTGTTTCTAGATTACCTAAATATTGCTTATGACTATTCAATAATGGGTATTACCATGCTTGTGTTAGGTTATTATTGTGTTCTTAAAAAGACCCTTTTCTCGTTGACAGTTTCTCAACAATTATGAGGATTTTTAGGTTTTATAACATTGTTTATATCTGGATATTAAGTAATGTTGTATTGGTAGAACATATCTGTTTGATAAGTTACAAGAAGTCTTCAACAAAGGAATCATAAAGTCTTTTTGTGTGTGAAAAAAGACTCATTTAAGATTGTACCACTAATTATTAAAAATGTAATAATATTATTTTTTCATAATAAAACAGTATTGTGATATTTTGTACGTAAGAAAGAAAACTATGTATGTTATGATATAACATTCTATATATATTTATCTTTCAAGATGTTTATCTTGCATATGGAGGTACATATCCATATATATAAATATATTTAAATATA